AACAAATAACTAAGAGAGTTACCTATATTTTCTCCAGCTTTACCTTCTTGAAATTATGTAGTTTTGAACTTTAAGCAGTAGATATAATTATATCTATGATTCATTTAATGTATTTTTGTAAAAAAATCTCTGCATCTAAGTTCATTTTATTTTTAAAAATTTTCACATTCATTGCAGTTCTATTTGCTGAAAATACTACCCTTTCTTCCTTGAATTGTCCCTGCTACTTTGCAAAGGTAATTTGTGTGGATCTATTTCTATCCCATTGATTTGTTTTCTATTATACCATCAGTCCCACGGCACCTTGATGATTGTGGCTGTGTGATAAGTCTTGACGTCAGGTAATGTGAGTCCTTTGACTTTATTTTTCAGCGTTGTGTTAACTCATCTGGGTATTCTGCCTCTCTGTGTAAACGTTAGAACCAGTTTATCAATCTCCATCAGAGAACTTGGTGGGATTTTGATTAAAACTGTGTTGAATGACGAGGTCATCTGGGGAAGAACTTAGAGGCTAACAATAATGAGTCTCCCACCTGTGAACACAGAGATCTCCCCTTTGGATGAGTTCATTCTCCTTTCACAGAGGTGTATAGTTGATCTCATAAATATTGTACATTTTTCCTTACACTGAATCCTGTGTAGTTGTTTTTGATATATATTATCATTAATACATATATATTTTCATATATATTATCATTAATTTGAATTTGAACTGTTCATTACTAATATGCAGGAATGGTTTTGAATTTTAGACACTGGCCTTGGTGCTCTGTGACCTTTGTGTGCAAGTGTGTATATGAAATTTACTGGTATATGTATGCATGTTGGGACACAGTGGTTGGACACCCATATGAAGACTAGAAGTTGAAGTTGGATATCTTCTTCTTTTCCTATACTATTGTTTTAGACATAGTTTCTCACTCCACGCCTGGATCTTGCTATTTTTGGTAGGCTGGTGAGCCAGCAAGGCTCCATAATCTCCCCATTGCCTCCTAGCTCTGCACTGGCATTGCATGTGGATGTCACCATGTTTGTTTGTTTTAGTTCATATTCAAGCTGTGGGATCTAAACTTGGGATCTCATGTTTGAGCATCAAGTGCTTTACCCACCAATCCATATCCTTTGTCAATTCTGAATTCCTTCTATGTTCATGTTTTTATATCTGTCATTGGTTTTCTACAAAGGTCAATCATGTTTCTCTTAAAGGTAGCTTAACTTCCTTCTACCATCTATGTCTCTCTCTCTTTTCTTTTCTGTGTTAATGGGTCAGCTCAGGCCTCCACTAGTGTGACACTGCAGTGGTGAGATGGAGTGCCCTTGTTCTGCTAGTCTCAATCTTGAGAAAACATCTACCATGAGTATGAAATCTACTACAGGTCATTATAGATGTTTATTAGATTAAAGAAGTTTCTTTATGTTCCAAGTGTGTTGAGAAGTAATTTTTGTTTTAGAACCCTGATGGTTATACACTCTTGTTAAATGCTTTTTAGTGTCTATTGATAATGTCACATGACCTCTTATCCTTCTGTTGATCGATGTGAAAGATTACAGTAATGAGTTTTTGTATAATTTTTAAGTTTTGAGATCTTATTCATATGTGTGTGTATATATACCTGTGTGTGTGTGTGTGTGTGTAGGTTCAAATGTGGTTAGAGGTTGACACTGGGGTGTCTTTCTCATCACCTCATACTTTGTGACAGAGTATCTTCCATGAATCTGGACATGGCCATTTCAGCTGGATTAGGTGGCTAGGGAGGTCTCAGGTACACCTGGCCCATGCTTTGATTTTCTGTGATATTGGAAAGAAGAAACGTATGACAATATTGACTCTTCTTTTTTGTAACCACAGCACAGCATGTCTCTGTCTATGTGGATCTTCCTGGCCTTCGAGAGTGAATTTTCAAATGTTCACTCTGCTTTTATGTTTTGAAACAAGTTGTCAAGCATGGGCATCATTTACAGCTTCGGTGCTCAATAGAATTCATTGGTATAATCTGCTGGGGGATTGTTGTACTTTCGGGGCTGGAAGACTATTATTTATCCAATTTATGTAATAGATACAGATATCTTGATTATTCCTATTTCTCTATGAGAGTTTTGGCAGAGTGTGTATTTCAAGAAATCGAATAGCTCTTTCTATGCTTTCGAGTTCTGGATCAACAGTTCTTAATAATCTTTTATTCTCCTGGATCCTGTCTTGTCTAGGGCAGTAGTAGAGATAGCCATTCTTGCATTGTTGACTGTAGTAATTTGGGCCTTTGTTCATTTCATGTGGCTGTCCTAGATGAAGGTTTATTGCTGTTATTGTTCTCTTCAAAGACCCAACTTTGGTCTCATTGATTTTTCTCTATTATTTACCTATACTCTTGTTTTTCTTTCTTCTGCCTGATTTAAGTTATGTTGCTCACAGACATACACAAATACATATGCCACACATAAATAAATAAGGGGAAAGGAGAGAATGCCAGGAAGAGGAGTTATTGCTTTTAAATGGATGCTCATGAACTCTTAGGAATTGGCCTTGGGACTGCAGGACAAAGATTACATCTATTAGTTTCTCTTCTTGTACCTGGAGCTGCAGATGGGTGCTACCATAGCTGGTTATTTGTGTAGGAGCTGGAAGATCTGAACTCAGGTCCTCAGTGGTCCAAGCACTTACCCATTGATAATCTCTTTCTGTCTCTCTCTGTGTATCTCTCTGTGTCTCTGTCTGTCTGTCTGTCTGTCTGTATGTCTCTCTCTCTCCCTCCCCCCCCTCTCTCTCTCCTGCCCACTCTGAACCTCCCTTTTATATCTGACAGAAACACTTAACGAGGATGGGTTTATTTTGGCTCATGGTTCCAGAGAACACAGTCCATCATTTGAATAGCATTGTGATAAGAACAACTTGGTCTATATTCTTAGGAGTTTGTGCCTGAATATGCTTCAGCAGTAGACAGGAAGCAAGGTAGGCTATAACCTCCCATGTCCTGCTCCATGTCACTCACCTCTAGAGTTTTTCTTCCTTCCCTAAATGTTGTACCAGCTCTGTCAAATATGCCACTGACTAGGGAATAAGTGTTCAAACACGTGAGCCTAAGGGGACATTTCACATTATCCCATAACAATTATATCAGTCGATTCATACTACTAAAGCACAATACCTTAGACATAATGGCTTACAAGAAGACAGATTGATTGCTCAAAGTTTGGATTCAGTGATGCTGAAGATCAAGGTACCAGAGAACTGTCTGGCAATTGTGTCTGGCAATGGCTTGTTCTGCATTGATTCTGCACACCTTCTGTGTGTTCTCTCATGGGAAGAAGGCTAACAATTCACCAAAGCCTCTTTTATTAACACTGATATCATTTACAAAAGCAGGTATCTCCTGACTCCATCATCTGCTGAAGGCCCCCACTTCTTGACCCTACCACAATGATTGCTATGGTTTGTATGTGACTCTCCTCAGTGGATACATGCTGGAAACTTGGCTTTGAGAATGGTGGTGGTGAGATGGTGGAGGAGCATTTAAGTACTGGAGTTGAAGGAAACTTGGGTGTTGGGAGCTCCACCCTTGTGAATGGATTGATGCTAAGAGTGCTTTGAAGGTATAGAGATGAATCATCATAGTTGTTCTATATGCCTGACCCCTTTGGCACATAGTATATTTCTTTTCTGGATCTCTGCTGTGTTATGATATAGCCAGGTTGCCCCACCAGTGGCCATGCTATGTTTAGACCTTTTGCTTGAATTCTAAAGCAACTAACCTTACTCTCTTCATACAGTACATACACTCAACACAAGTGGCTAAGATTAGATTCCAATATGAATCTTGAAACAACACACACATTCAGACGACAACACAACTAAATTAATTCTGACTCTAAGAACTGCCAATCCCTTGAATACCTGCTGTGTGAGACTATAAGAGATGCATTCATTTTTAGGGTCTGTTGTTTCCCTTCTACAACATTCGACAAAGCATCACACTGTCTGTTTGGTTATTTCTGATTTCACCCTTGCTAGCACCCAGCTTAGACTGTCGAGGTCTTCCTGTCCAGTACAGTGACTGCTCCTAGACCATTCCTTCCTATGGCCTCCTGTGCTCAGAACTGACAGCTCCTTTTCTTACTGCCTCTCAATGCTTCCCTGTCCTTACAGTTTGAGACCACTTACTGAGCTCTTACTGGTTTGCCATCCTGAAGTTCAAGAGTCCCTACAATAAGGCTTCAACATTTTATTTCTAAACTATATCACCAATTTCTCCAGCTTTGGGGCATGCAGTCAGCTAGAGTCCTTTCTCTGGCTCAGTGCCCGCCCCCTTTTCCTTGGGAGTTCAGAAGAGCACTGCCCTTCCACAGCAGATGTGGCAGGGAGTCATCCTCATAAAAAAATCCCAGACAGATGTGGAACATAGATGTCTAATTTTCCTTGTTGAACTGGCTTCACTCTTAACATGTTACTACTCTGGGCTGCAGAATATATTACATAGGAAAACCCTCAGGTTATGGAGTAAAGTCTCCAGACTGTTGCATGAAGTCATTAAAGGGACTTTAAAAAGATAGGTGTGATGAGGAAAGAAAGAGGCATAGAGAAGCTCATGAATAAAGTCAGGTAACGGGAGTGCTGTAGCCAGAGGACTAGAGGGGACTGGCATGTCCTGCCACATTCTTCTAGAACCTCAGCAGAGTCCAGCCTAGCCAAAAGACATTCATTCATTCAGGGTGGTCCCACACCATGTTACCTGTTGCTGTGGGGATTTTGTTCTCAGCTTAACATGACCCCAAATTAGAGTAAAGTATTTAAAAACATATATGTATTTTTCTTTGAAAATACCATAGCCTGAACACAGCACTAGGAAGCACACAGTCCACTCAATGAAACACAGGTTCCCTAAGAAGACAAAAGCATGTGTAATGTTGATGCATCATGGGTGGATCTTGCAATCCCACAGGTAGGTGGGAGAGCACTCACATTTTGCCAATAATTTAACTGAGTTCATATAGAAACAAATACACAATTTGTAAATTAAATTGTTTATTTGTCCCAAATATAACTTAAATATCATTAAATATTACTCAAGCAAGTCTATGTTTTAAATTATTAAAAACATCTCTCTTTAGGCATCATAATAAATTACCATTGCACTGCCCACAGGGAAGGTTAGGGGAAAGTACAGAAGATTTCCCTGAGCCTCTCAGCGTAGACATGAAAGCTCAAGGATGCCGAGTTTGAGACTTCTGATCCAAGTGCTTTATGTAGTTCTCAACCCACTTCTCCTTGGGGTCAGCACAGATCTCCTTATCCAGTATGGTCCTGAAGCTGTTGGGAGAGGGCGTGGTTAGGCAAAGTGCTCTGAGGATTCTGTTCAGGGCCTGTGCATGGCCTGCCCATTGTTTCTCAGACCTCTTCCATTCATCCATAGATGGAGAGTCAGGAAAGAAGATTGGGAAAGGTGTAAGAAAGTAGACTCAATGGAAAGCCCTGTTTTTGTTCTCCTAGCTGAATGTCTCCAATCTCCTGGCTGAAGGAATTGGGTACAATCTCTCCAAACAGATGGCAATTTGTGGATTCTCTAATGGACTTAGTTTTCCTAGGTGAAAAAGGACCAGGTGGGTAAGATGCTCTATTTGTTTGACTCATGGTCATGAGTCCAGACTTCTCTCTCTCTTCTCTCTCTCTCTCTCTCTCTCTCTCTCTCTCTCTCTCTCTCTCTCTCTCTCTCTCTCTCTCTCTCTCTCTCTCTCTCTCTCTCTCTTACTCCTCAGAAAGGAAACTAGCATGGAGTACTGGACATGGCCTACTTACATCACAGCTTCCCAGGGACACTGGGTGCTGGTGATTCTCCTGTAGCCCTTCAGCCTCCGCATTTGGATCTTCTTAGTAGCCATTTCATAACAGCAGGTGACCGGGATGAACACTGCATCTGAAAATAATTTTGTAAAGAAGGGAGAGTTAGGAGACATTGCAGGGTACTATCACAAGGGAAGGAGAAGGCTGGGTTGTACCTAAGAGTCATGGCTCCTGAGTTCTGTATCTAGAGCCCAATAACATAATGTTAATAGAATATGTTCTAGCCATTGACTGTGTATGGAAAAAAACTCATCAATTTCTAACACAGGAAAGTAAGATCTAAGAACTTGCTATCACTTGCAGCTGTGGGCTTAGCATCAACCTACTTTTAGGATAAGAAAGCTCTCCAGGATCCACACGTGGCTGCTGTTCTGGAAGTCACTCTGGACCATGACCCCAGCTTTAATTCCTGTTACACCTCTATTGCTTGAGATGTCCTTCTCACCTACAGGGCCACTTCTGGGCCACCTCTACCAGTAAGGCTAGGGCAGTATCTGTAGTGGCTGCATGCAGCATCTTGTCCCAGGGTTGGTGTCGTGAGACATCACAGGGCTTGGCCTCAGAGGTCTGAACACTTTTTTTCTGGCTCTGGCTAGCTGTGACACATTGGCTGCTTGTAACTTCTCCGGTAGTCCCAGTCTCTCCATCTTAAATTTGCAGACCCCACAGCAAGTCTGAGGTGTGCTAAGGGATTGGGAAAGGAAAAGTCTCACCTGGCGCAGTCGACACCTGTAGGCTGATGCTGGCAATCATGAACAGCAGGCACAGAAGCGCTGTGGAGATCTTCATGTTGAGTCAATGGCTTCGGAATGAAAGCGGGGAGCTCAGGAGTTGGTGCCACTGTCTCTGCTCCTCTGGAGGCCCTGTCTGTCTTTTATAAGGAGCAGGGAACTCCTTAGGATCCTACCAAAGGAAGGATGAAGTAAGATCCTCCGGGCTGTGCTGAGTAGGCATCAGACCCCAGGGTGATTTCCTCATAGCCGGAAGGAAGCTGTGCAGTTTCTGTCTACTGCCAGCTTAGACTGTGAAACAGAGGTGGAAAGGTATACAGCTGAGCACAGCAACATGGAGGAAGTGCTGTCACCAGATAAGGGGTTCTCATTTCTATGAAATGGAAAAAAAAACATTTGTGTGGAAGAAAGAACAGGAACTACAAGTCACAGAGGCCTAAAGAGTGGCCAGTGTCTGCCTCTTGGAGGAGACTGGAGACTGGAGATAGGCTAAGTTTTTGCCTTTGATCTTTACCACAGCAGGCCACTGCAACCCTAAAGCAGGTGAGTCCCTCAGAACCCAGTTGGGCTCCAAATAATTATGGAGGAATGACAGGATCCAGAGTTTGCCAATCTCTTTCTTTTCCTCATTCTTCTCTTCATTTCTTTTGTTGCCACATGTTATACATGTTAGGCCTGGCCTTGCAACTGCTAATCATGAACTCTACCACTATGCTACAGCTACATGACCTGACCAGAACTTCTTCCCCTCTGTCCCCCCTCCATCCCTCCCTCCCCCTCCCCCTCCCCCTCCCCTCCCCTCCCCTCCCTCCCTCCCTCCCTCCCTCCCTCCCTCCCTCTCTCTCTCTCTCTTTTGAGATAGGGTTTCCCAACACACCTTGAATTAATTTTGTAGAACTGGCTGACCTTGGACTTGTGATCAACTGTCTTAATCTTCCAAATAGCTGAGTTTATAGAATTGCATCATTATGCTTGGCTCAATGTCTGAAAGTTTCAAAGCTCTAGAGATACTGATTCTGTAGTTGGTGTGATTTTGAGTGGTGGGATTCTGTAATTGGGAGGAGACTCCTATAGTGGGTGTGAGCCTGTAAAGGGTGGATCCCACAGTGGGAGAAAGGTTTAGTGTATGGGTACCTGCAGTGAGGGATTCTGCAGGGAAGGAAGACCATGTAATGGGTTGGATCATGCAATGAGGTAGATCATGTTGTGGAAGGATTCTACAGTGGAGTTCATTCTGCACTTTGTGGAATCTTACAGTGACAAGATCCTGTAGTGTGGGAATCTTGCAGTGGGAGACCCTGCAATGGGTGATAGAATTCAGTGGGTGAGCTCCTTTGGCAGGATTGGATGCTTTTACAGGGAAGAGAATCTGTAGTGGGAGTATCCATGCATTGGGGGGATCCTGCAGTGGGAAGATCTTGCAACAGAGGGAAGTCTGCAGTGGTTCTTCCCAAGGGTATCATTTGGAGAAGCCCATTAGTTCATGAAGAATCTGGAACTTTGGGTCTGTTTGTTAATGGCCTCCCAACTCCTTTCACTACACACAGTGGAGGGGAAGTCATAGGGGAAACAAGGTTGCAAATTGCTGACCTCAACTGTCTCTTAGCACTCATACATCATCATCATTGAATCTTATGTTACAGCGCTTTCGGGCTAGCTCCTTTCACTAAGCAATATTGCATGTAAGGTTCCTCTATGCCTTTTATAGTTTAATAGCTCACTCCCTATTTTTTTTTGAAAATTACTGTTTTCTCATAGCCATGAGGTGTGCCATCCACATGGACTTGCAATCAGTCTCCATGACTTTCTATTTTATGAACAACATTCCATGCTCAATGAACCAGTCCCATCCCCACTTGCTTCTTGACCCTGGGGAACCACCCTGATTTTACCCACCGAATGATCACACCCGTTGCAGTGCCCCCTACAGTAACCATTGTTACTTACCCCTACTGTGATTTCAAATTCTCTATCTCATGTAGACAGACACATAACGTATCTAATTTTTCTTCAACTGCCTTATTCCACTTAGCATCATGTTCTTAACGGACCTTTATGTTGTTGCACATATCACAGTTTCTCTCTCTTAGGCCTCTTAAGATTCCACACTAAGCATATGATGATGTGCATATCTATCCATGAACATCTAACTAGTTTTCATGCTTTAGTTGTAAATAATACTTTGATGTGCATGGGTTGGCAAGTGTCTCACCAAAATCCGTTTTAGATTTCTTTGAGTAAATATCATGTATTTGTTTACTTTAGGAACTACTCTTCCCACAGAGCTGTCCCATTTGACATTCTCTCAGCAACCACACGCAAGGCTCCAATTAGCTCCACATCCTTGAGAAATTTGTTACAATCTTCTGTAGTAAACGTATTATAGGGGAGTAGTCAGTCACTCATCACAGCATTTGTTTCTATTTCTCTAATGTTTGCTGGTTATGATGAACATATTTTCATGGACTTATCAGCTTTGTGTATGTTTTCTGTGAGGAAATGCTTTGCTTACGTTTGAATCAAGTCATTAATTGTTGAGTTGCAGATGTTCTCTATTCTGAAGAAAAATTCATTACGGTAATGCAAGTACTTCTTCCCATTGCCTTTTCACTTTGCTGATACTGCCCTTTGATGCTGAAATCTTTCTAGTTACAACAAAGTCTTACTTGTGTAGTTTTGTTAGTTTTTGTCACCTGTGACTCAAGAGCCATACACAGTAAGTCACTCTTAATTTCAGCATCATGATGATGCTCTCTTCTAAGGGTTTTGTTGTTTTAGATCTCAAGTTAGGTCTTTGATACATTTTGAGTTAAGTTTTCATATAGTGCTGGGAAAGGGCCCAAGTTCATTCTTCTGTGTGAGAATATCCAGTTTTCCCAGAATAATTTCTCAGGAAAGCAATCAAATACTCTTGACATTCTTTTTAAAATCTTTGGACCATATACGCTAGGGTATATTTCTGGGATCTCTGTTTCACTGATCTATGTCTATTGTTATGTCAACATAACACTGTTTTGGTTACCGTGAATTAGTAGCAGATTTTGGGATTCAAAATTATAAGGACTATTTAGGGTCCATTGATAATCTAAGTGAATTTTAGGATTTGGCCCTCTGTTTCTGCTAAACCTGTCACAGGATTTGGGCAGGTATTTGGGTCTGTAGGCTGCTTTAGGAAGTATATACATCATAAATGAACCTATGAATTTTTTTCTTCCCTTACATCCTCTTGATTTTATTTCAGCAGTTTTTCCTGACTTCATTGTACAGTCCTTACACCTTCTTGTCTCTTTCTTAATTCTCTTTTTTGAGGCTATTTGTGAATGTGATTGTTATAAAAAAAATCCCCTTTTAACCACTCATTGCTGTTGGAGAGAAGCGCAGCTGATGATGTGTGCTGCCTTTGGGTCTTGCACACTATTGTTTTCATTGTCAGATCCTAACCTTTCTGTAGGTGACTTTAAAGAAGAATTCTCTGCTTGTTTTTCATAGAACTCCTTTTTCAGACATATGCTTTACAAATAATTTCCTCTAATCTGTGAATTGTCATTTGCTCAACAGCATTTTTTATAGAGTGGAAAATTTGCCTTTCATGAAATCTAATCTATCAGTTGCTTTACTTGTGTGTGCTTTTGATGTTGTATATATAAAGTTAACATCAAGTCCAAGTCATTTCTTTTCTCCCATCTCATCTTGTAGAATTCATTTCTTTGCTGATTAAGAATTTCACACATGCATATAATTTCTTTTGGTCAAATCCACCTCCCTTCCCCTCCCTCCCAATTACCCTGCCACATCCCCCCAACTCTGTTTTCCCAGTTTCATGTGTTCTCTGTCTTTTAAAACCCATGGAGTCCTCAGAATGCTGTGTGACTTGAATTTTAAGCTGTAGAAGGACTTACATCTTTGATTCATTTCACATTAATTTCTGTGATAAGCACAAAGTCTGAGTTTAGATCCATCTTCTTTTTGTGTGTTCACTAAGTCGTTACAGATCCATTTGCTGGAAATTCTCCCTTGAATTGCCTGTGGTTTTCAAAGGTAATTTGTGTGGCTCTATTTCTATCCCATTGATTTATTTTCTATTATATCATCAGTCCCATGGCATCTCGATGACTGTAACTGTGATAAGTCTTGAAGTCAGATTAATGTGAGTCCTCTGACTTTATTTTTCAGTGTTATGTTAACTCCTCTGGGTATATTGCCTCTCTGTGTAAATGTTAGAACTAGTTTGTCGATACCCATCAGAGAACTTAGTGGAGTTTTGATTGAAACCGTGTTGAATGAAGAGGTCATCTGGGGAAGGGCTCAGAGGCTGACAGTATTCAGTCTCCCACCTGTGAACACGGAGATCTCTCCATTGAGTTCTTTCTCCTTTCACAAAGGTGTCAGCTTTTCTCATTTTTATCACACATTTTTCCTATGGTTAAGTTCTATGTACATGACTTTTAGTGGTAGTATAACTTTTAGTGGTACTATAAATGATACAGTGTCATTAATTTTCTGTCCATTACTGATATAGTAGAAGGCTAATGAATCTTACACCATAACCTCATATTTTGTAACCTTTCTATGATCACAATTTCATTAACTATAAGAATGTTGTTTTATACCTATTGTTGATTCTTTGTGACTTTCTGTAATGATCAATCATGTTTTTCTTGAATGCAGCTTAACTTCTGTCGTCCCATAAGTAGTGCACTTTTTGGTTTCTTGTCTGTGTTAATGAGTCAATCAAGACTTCCACTGATGTGACACCAGTCTCAATCCTATGAGAACCTTATCAACAGTGAGTGTGGAGTCAGCTGCAGGTCTTTTGGATGTTCTCTAGGTTGAGAAGCTTCCCTCTGTCCCCAGTGTGTTAAGAAATGTTTTTGGTTTCACAACCCTGGATGGATATGTACTTTTGTGTGTGCTTTTGTTAAAAGCTTTTCAGTGTCTTTTGATAGCATCATGTGACCTTTTGTTCTTCAGCTGATTGATGTGATAGATTGCCATAATCATTTTTAATGTTCTCCAGCTTGTGTTTTGAAACAAGGTCTCTTTGCTGAATCTAAAGCTGTTCATTACAGCTGGTCAGCAAGGACCCAGGATCCATCTGTCTCTACGCTCTTCCTCAAGTGCTGCCGTTACAGACCCATAGCATCATG